GGTACCCAGAGCAAACTAGACTGATCTGCAACATTGGATAAGGAAAGGCGCTCGAGTTGTGCAAGGTGGTTGCCACCGACCACGTTCACGGGCAGTAGTATGCAAAGACCCAGCACCGTTGCTACAAGACTGATCCAGCATCCAAGGCGTAAAAAGCGCAAAAACATGTAGGCATCCGAACCGACGCATTCAATAATATCTTTCTCTGAGGTACGCCAAAAGGTCACGAGCCACACAAAGGGATTATTGGATAGCAAGGTACGGGCAGGCGCCATCCTAGAAGCTGGAGGTGGCGATGGTGGAGCTGCTTGCGGCGGCCATATCGGCACAGAGTCCATACCTATCGCTGCGGGTAAGGTCGTGGAAAGATTCGCATCTCTACTGTCATTGGCCTCACTTTGGTTCCCAGTGTCTGTCGTCGCGTCCACGAAGGCCTCTGGCCAGCCAGGGGTTCGAGGCCGGGGTCTCGCATTATTGCGTTTGCATTCCTCACGAAGTAAATCAAGACGCCGACGCTTGCAATCATAAATATCGCAAAATCGCCTGCTCAGAAACCACCAAGCTACAAGGTAGAGAATGCCAATTATGAGTGCCGGGAGCAGGGCGCCTATCAAGCTTTGAATCGACCTCACTTCGGGCTGTTCGCCGCGCGGATCGACTTGGCTGCCTTCGTCTGCCATAGACTGGCAATATGCGATAGGGACAGACGATTAGAAAAGATGCAAAATTTGGTCGATTGAACGCGTTCGAAGTCCTCACAGAAAAGAAAAAATCGCAATGCACACCCAAACACGTGACGTTTCGGCTCTTTCCCAGCAAGGAATGGGCAATCACACAATCATCTGGAAAATTCTAAGCAAGCTCAGATGCTTTAAGCGAATACATGTTCATTTTGTGGAACTCTCTTCTGCCGTAGGCGTTGACGGCCCATTCGGTGGCCTGTCCGCATACGCGTTCGCTTGCTGAAAGTCCCGACGACGTCGTGCCCGCACTTTGGGACTTTAGGCATCGAGATGATGATGATACGAGCTGCTAAAAACGAAAACCATTAAGAAGGCTGCTTATTGATGACGATCCGAACAGCTGAAATCGAAAATCGTTAAAGCTGAGGGCCTCATGCTGAGGCCCTCAACCTGAGGGGTGAAAACGATCCGAGCTGCTGATATCGGGACGCCTCTGAGCGGACGGTTGATGACGATCCGATCTGCTGAAATCTTGGATGATAGGAATCCTTGACCGACGATATCAGAGCCTGAGTTGAACATAGGAATGTGATGGCGCGAGCGGTGAAATATGTTGGATAGCTCTAGTATCGCATATGTGATTTCACGGCAGTAAGATTCGGTCAGAGACCGACAGTATTTCCAACACCGTTTAACAACGTACGGTTTTTGGATACACTTAGAGTTTTCCAAGATTTGAATCGTGCTTCACACACCCAATCCATGCTGCATCAAAGCGTCAAATGGTGGGAAAGAGAAGATAGGAGGGAAAGCGTTGATGACCAATCGAGCGCGCAGATGAGAGAGGCAGGAATCGTTTATTTCCCAATCCTCATCTGCCTCCTTTCCTTTGCAATCCAACACTCACTACAGAGTCAACACATCCAAGCCCGCTTTCTTTCACTTTTCGACATCAACATGACTTCATTTTCATTGACCGAAGAAGAAAGGACTGTCCAACGGGAATACTGGCAGGAACACAGCAAGAAACAAGGCTCAAGCATGGAAAACATGATGTTGGACGACTCTGCGTCCAAATTAGACTTGATGGATCGTCCAGAAATCTTGTCAATGCTCCCTACTTATTCTGACATTCGAATTTTAGAGCTGGCCTCAGGCATTGGGCGGTTCACGGGCTCTCTTGCTAGCAAAGCAGGAAGCGTGGTTACGGTCGAATTTATGGAGGAGTTTGTTGCCAAAAACAAAGAACTGCACAATCATTTCGGCAATTGCGATTTCCTGTGTGCGGATGTCCTCAAGCTGACTCTTCCACCGGCCTCATTTGACCTGGTTTTCTCGTGCTGGATTCAGATGTACCTCAACGATCAAGAGGTGCGCGTCCTAGCCGCCCGAAAGCTTGAATGGTGCAAGCCCGGAGGTCACGTTTTCTTCCGTGAATCATGCTTTCAGCAGTCGGGGAATGTTACCCGCGCTTTCAATCCCTCGCATTATCGACACCCCTCGTTTTATACCTCCGTCTTCTCCGAGGTACGTTGCACCGATGCTACGGATGGCATCGAATACAGGCTGGAGTTAGTGCGCTCTCGCAACCTAGAGACGTACATCGCCGTCAAAGGCAATAAGGGCCAGATTTGCTGGCTCTGGCGAAAGGTTCCTGTCACGAGCTCACAAGCCCGCTTGGTGGGCAATGGAAATACGGGCCTCAGCAATGGCAACGGCGCCGGGCACAGCAACGGGCACAGCAACGGGCACAGCAACGGGCACAGCAACGGCAGCAAGAATGAGTGCAACGGCGTTTCGAGTCCCCATGCGGACGACCTCCTCGCCCCCCCGGCGACGGGCCAGCTCGCCACCCACGATGGTCTCTTCGGACCTGGCTTTGGGAGCGACCGGGTGGGAGGCGCGGGGCCCGCGTCCGCCCTAGCCCGAGCCCTGGAGCTCGGGGAGCCGGGTAAGCGCGTGCTGGATTGGCAGTGCGGTCTGGGCGGGTACGGGCTGTGGCTGGCGGAAAAATGCGGCGCCAAGGTCTGGCAGGTGGACGAGCGGACGGCCTTGATTGAGGGGGCGGTGCAGCACTCCAGGACCCTGCCCAAGGCGCACACGGTCTTGGAGGTCTGTCGTCTCCACAGCCGGGAGTTCGATCCAGAGAGCCTGGACGCGGTCATCGTGCACACGCCACAGCCCTTGAGCCCCTTGTCGTCCTCGTTTTACCACAGAGCGGCGGCCTGGCTGAGGCCCGGGGGCCGTCTCGTGGCAGGGCTGCTGCTGGAGACTGTGGGGGAGGCAGAGAAGCTCCTAGCGGCCCTGGCAAAAGCGTTCGGGCAGGAGGTGGTGATGACGGATATGACGGCGCAGATGGTGGAGTGGATGGAGCAGAGTTTGACGGCCTCGCGCGCGGCCCACAGGACGGTGGAGCCTGGCAATGGCCACACAAATGGCAACGCTCACATTGCGCGCAAAGAACAGGAATTGCAAACCGCTGTGAAACAGTGGTGGGAAGAACAGCTAGAGCGAGTCAAGGCCGGTGGCTTACACTACTTTCTTTTCAAAGCAACCAAGCAAGCTTGAACCTCTACGGTGGAAATTGTGCCGAAAATTTGGTGAGTGAGTAATAAGTCAGGCGCACACTGGGGTTAACACGCCTAGCCACTGGTGATGATCAGACCTATTCTATCGACGTAAAATGAAATGGTAATCTAAGAAATGAGGACGAAGAAGTAGTTATGGGAATGTGAGTAGGTGAGCAGGGGCGGTGAACTCAAGAGAAATGGGTGAAGGCCAAGTACAAACAAACGGGTGAAATGTTTCAAATGGTGCACTAATAGCAATACACAGTCTGTGTCCGCCTGACTCGGTATCAGTGCAAAAATTGCGAGATAGGAGAAGAGAGCATACTTAGAAAGGAGAGTGGACAGACTTATAGCATTATTTATAGTTAGTTTTTTGCGCACCCTAATGCTACGGTCCAAGGAAAATGGAGAAATGCTATGAAAATAAATAAAAAAAAAGTGTGATACAGTAGTACGTCGCGGGAACGAGATGAAATTATTCGAAATTGGTCGGCGAGAGGCACACGAATTCCCATGACAAGGATGTGCCTCGAGGCCTATTCAGTAGCGCATTTAAAGAATCAATTGAAGGGAAACCCGAGTCTTCTACGTTTGCATAACCCTGTGCGTCGATCACGGGAATTCTACGCAAGATAGAGGGGCCAGCAAGACAAGGGGTGGGGTCGGGGGGCTGTGGCCCTAGCGCATGGAATACACCCAGAACGCTGACTGTACGCGACTTTAGTGTGTTCTTTTATCAAGAGCCTTACGACGAAAAGCCTCGCTTTCTCGCTATTGTCCAACATGACCTCCATGCTCCCTTCACCGCCACTTCAATCCTCTTCAGCCGCAAGACGCTTGCGCTCGATACTCTTTAAATACAAGACCGTGGGCACCATCACACCCAGGAGGGGAAAGGCGCTGCCCGCGATGTAAGGGAGGGCCCCGGGGGGCAAAGGGTGGCCAGGCTCCTTGCTCCACTCGTAGAGGATGCCGGCCACCAACGGACTGATGATGCGGGCGCACGACTGCGCCGCGTGGCTCCACCCAAGGTTGCGGCCCTGGTGCTCGGGAGCGGAGTACCGTGAGATGAGGGAGGCAAGAGCGGTGTCGGAGATGGCGTAGCCGATGATGTGCAGGGAAAACATGGAAAAGTGCCAAAGCTTGTAGCGCAGCAGGGACAGGCCGACCATACCCAGGGCGAGAAGGAGGTTGCCAAAGGCCAGCATGACATGCTTCCCCAGGCGGGCGAACAGATTCTTGATCAGGAACACTTGCAGAAGGCCGACGGCGATGCCGTTAAGGGCGAAGACAGCCCCCAGAGCTGTCTCTCCGTACCCAAAGTTGTCCTGAGAAAATGAAAAGGAAATCGGGAGG